TTATATTTACGCTAATTACAAATAAAATGGAATAAGCTCTAGATTAACGAATAATTACAAATATTGATTTCCTTTGTATATATCAAAATATTTTTATAAAATATACATTTTATAAATATTTGCGTATAAATAATTTTAAACATTTAAAAAAAAAATAGTTTTATACTTATTAACTGATTTTATATTTCCTATTTTCCTATTAATAATTATTTTTTGTTAATGAAGCCGAGTATCGAACTCCCTTTTATGCGGCGAAATGACAAACGTTTGCTCAGCTCAACTTGAGACTAACACACACACACAAACACCCACATTCCGTCACTCACATGCTCCACGCGCTCTCTTCAGCGGCTTTTTGGCTCTCTGTGCGGGCAGCAATGCCGGCAATTTGCTCTTGCCAGAACAAAGAGTAACAAAAGCAACAACAAATATCAGCGCTGCTGTAAATAAAAGCGGACCGCAATACGCTCTTGTGCGCATTAAGCGGCGAACTTTTGCTTTGACCAGAGCCCAGACCTAGACCTTTGACCAAAGCGGTGAAAAGTGTGAAAACTTACCAAAAATTCCTGTAATAAAAAAAGACACGCTAAATTATAAATAGCTGTGTGTGTGTTTATTTCATTGCGTGTGGGTGTGTACACTGCGAAAGCTAACGAGAAAAGTGCAAAACAGACATTAAATATTCCATATACAAAATTCGTGACTGTCCGAAAATGAAGCCAACCAAGAACTCAACGCTGGAAATCATCTCGCCCAAGGTACACGTGGACGATGAGTTCATTGAGACGGATTATGAATATCAAACGTCGCATGTGAAGCGCACCGCCACGGGCCAATTACAGGTGAGTCGCCGGTCATGGATAGGGGAACTGACACCATTACGCAAAAAACGAACTGTTTCAATCGATAAGTCACGGCGAAGGCGTTAAAAATAGAATGCAACAGTTGCATAAGGATGTAATGAGCTTACGGCGAAAGTGAGCTGAGCAGGCGAAAGTGTAGCAGAATGAAGAGGGATGAAATTGTCAACAGTTGTTTATAGAGTGAAGAGAGTAGAGTAGGTTTATAAAAAAAAAAAACAAAAAAAATATCGATGATATAGATGATAGATATCTTGTGGATAGTAAAATTATTAAACTATATTATATGACTATTATATTGTAWATTGAAATTATATTATATAGTGAAAATATATTGGCCTTTCATTGTCCTTCATACTGAACTAATGACGCAGGTTTTGTTTTTGATTTGCTCCATTTGTTCTGGATACGGTATAATTAATTGACACATAATTTACTTGAAATCCATTTTGTATATTTTCTACCGTTCTACAGTGTTTCACGCTTATTAATACACATGCCAAGAGATCTAGTTTAGGTGGATGGTTTATGATTTATGAATTTATTGATTCTATTACAATACAAAACAGCTGATAAAACAAAGTCGAGCGCTGATAACTGTCCATTTCCAAGCCCGTTTCCATTGTTATTCCCATTCCCATTCCTATTCCCATTCCCATGCCCGTTTAAGAACACTGTGGACTTTGGTGGTGTGCGCAGGCGTTAAGCATATTTGTATATGTGAAATGATGTCCGAGTATTATCGTACGTGTTTTGAATTTGTTATGTTAACTTATCGCCAAAAAATATGTGTACATGTATATGTACAAGTCAGACTTGCAAGAAATAAATTTTTGTTGAAGTTTGTTCCTTTTGTTTCCGCTGTTTCGTTTGATGTTGTTCTCAATAGCTGCAGCTTCAGGCATTTGCTTCGCTCTGCTCTTCTCGCTCAGGTTCAATTCTAATGGTGTTGTGCTCACCACGCACTTGCTGTGCTCTTCGCTCTCAAGGTCAATGCTAGTGCAGCAGGAAATGACACTTGCTGCACTCTTCTCGCTCAAGGTCAATGCCAGGCAGTGGAGTGTCAGCTGATATTTGTTCAGTGGGCTGAGGTCTTGCTATGTTCTCTTAGCACTTTTGGCTCTCTTAAAAACTCAGACCTTGACTTTGGCATATAAATATTCCAATAATCTGCTCAGTTAATAGTTAGACAGTATCGTCTGTTGCTTGGCCGCGATTCGTGTGGGGCTTCATTTCATCTGTGTTGTTTTTGTGTTGAAATTCTCACATGTGCTTATTAACCAGCCGGCCGGCAAATGGCCAACAATGTGTGGGGCTTTCGACTTTACACGTTTCTAATTTATTTATGCAATATATACGATTATCATGATATACATATTCATAAGAAAATCTGTATAAACATATGTATGTATTTTTGGTAAGGAACACGTCGCAAGCTGGCATCTAGGCAAATATTAAAAACAGCTTAACGACTTGTTAATATACTTTAAAAACTACTTCCAAGACGAAAAAAAACAAAAAAAAAAAGAATGGAAAAAACTGAAAAAAAATATTAATAATAATAATAATATTAATAATAATGATGTCAAAAACTTTATCAAAATATAATATAATATATAATTTGTAATATGCATATATTCCATATTTTCGATAAATATATCTATATTTATTACTCAGGAAAGAGTACACAAATTCGGCTAGCGTTTAATTTATTTAAATAAAAAAATCACGCGATCGTCAAGCAGTTTGGGCGCTACTCTAATCAAGCCACGTCAGGCTATGTGCCCGATAAGGCGCAGGTGGCACTCAAGATATATTCTTGAATTAATTACTGATTGGATTTACATACTTTGGTCTGGCCCACTTGCAGGTGCACCCGCGAACGACGTCGCTCAAGATACGCACAGCTCGAAATGTGCCCAAGTTGGGAGTCATGCTCGTTGGCTGGGGTGGCAACAATGGATCGACGCTGACCGCCGCCTTGGAGGCGAATCGCCGCCAGTTGCAGTGGCGTAAGAAGACGGGCGTGCAGCAGGCGAATTGGTTTGGCTCCATCACTCAGGCATCGACGGTCTTCGTCGGATCGGACGAGACGGGCACTGATGTCTATGTGCCCATGAAGGAGCTGTTGCCCATGGCAGAGCCGAATGATATTATTGTCGATGGCTGGGACATAAGTGGTAAGCATTTGGGCGATGCCATGCGACGTGCCGAGGTCTTGGATGTGGCGCTGCAGGATCAGCTGTACGAGCAGCTCTCCGCCATGAAGCCACGCCCATCGATTTACGATCCCGATTTCATTGCCGCCAATCAGCTGGATCGTGCCGATAATCTCATCAAGGGCACCAAGTTCGAACAGTATGAGCAGGTGCGTCGCGATATACGTGACTTCAAGCAGCGCTCCGGCGTGGAGACGGTCATTGTGCTCTGGACAGCCAACACGGAGCGCTTCAGCGAGGTGCTGCCGGGTCTGAACACCACCAGCCAGGAGCTGCAGTCTTCGCTGAAGGCCAACAAATCGGAAATATCGCCATCAACGATCTTTGCCATGGCCAGCATTGCCGAAGGCGTAAGTAAATGCGAGTCGAATCTGAGATACACCTACAACTGCTTGTTCCTCTCATTTTCTTTCAGTGCACGTACATTAATGGCTCGCCACAGAACACATTTGTGCCGGGCCTCATTGAGCTGGCCGAGGAGCAGCGCGTCTTTATTGCCGGCGACGATTTCAAGTCGGGCCAGACAAAGATTAAGTCCGTTTTGGTGGACTTTCTGGTGGGCGCGGGCATCAAGCCCGTCTCCATTGTCAGCTACAATCATCTGGGCAACAACGATGGCAAGAATCTCTCTGCTCCACAGCAGTTCCGCTCGAAGGAGGTGAGCAACTACACCAAGCTCTCTCTCTCTCTCCCTCCCTCTCTCTCTCCCCCTCTCCCCCTCTCCCCCTCTCTTTCACTCATATACTCAATCATCTGTCCTGTTGCAGATTTCCAAGAGCAATGTGGTCGATGATATGGTCGCATCGAACAGCGTGCTATATAAACCTGACGAGCATCCGGATCACGTGGTGGTCATCAAGTACGTGCCCTATGTGGGCGACAGCAAGCGTGCTATGGATGAGTACACCTCGGAAATTATGATGGGTGGCCACAACACTCTGGTCATACACAACACGTGCGAGGATTCGCTGCTGGCCACGCCCCTCATATTGGATTTGGTCATCCTGGCCGAGCTGAGCGCGCGCATCCAGCTGCGCAGCGCCGAGAAGGAGCTGGCACCGTGGGTGCCCTTCAAGCCAGTGCTGTCGCTGCTCAGCTACCTGTGCAAGGCACCGCTGGTGCCGACCGGCTCGCAGGTGGTCAACTCCCTCTTCCGGCAACGGGCCGCTATTGAGAACATCTTGCGCGGCTGCATCGGATTGCCGCCCATCTCGCATTTGTCGTTGGAGCAACGGGTATGATGGAATGAACTATTTCGCTTCTTGACTTGTTGCTTATCTGAATTGAACCTTTGCTTTGCTTGCAGTTTGATTTTACCAGCATTACAAATGAGCCGCCAGTGAAGAAGGCCAAGCTGCTTGGCCAGCCGTGCTCGGTGGAGTCCAACGCCAAGCTGCATGCCAATGGACACAGCAATGGCACCAAGCTGGCCGCCAATGGCAACGGTCATTGAGTAGTCTATATATGTACATATGTATATATATCAATATATACATATATATGCGTCTATTATATGTGTACTTTTTGCTAAATTACAAACTAGTTGTAAGCTACAAATATATCAAATAAATTTCAAAACCACCTACATACAACAAAGGCCAATCGTTCTGTATTTATTAAATATGTACATATCTATGTGGGTACGTATAAAGTATGTATTTATTTTTAGGAATTTTTGTATACATATCAATCAGCATTGAATGCCTTTGTCCATATGTGCACAATTGATGTGATTTAGGGTAGGAACTCTTCGCATTGAGTATTATAGTTGTCTGGCGAACTATGAAACGTTATTAAATCAATATGTGCATATGCTATTTGACTTATAAATGTAGACATATCAATACTAGTGGGATTAATCTCTAAGTTTTAGACTCAACAATTCAGCGTAGTATTTTGAAAATAGTTTGAAATGAATTACAATTATTATTTATCTTTAATTATTATTATTATCTCTTTAATGTATAGAAAAAATGTTAACAAAACGTATTTATGCATGAATCTATTGAATCTATTGTATATCTTTAACCTTTTCAACAGGGTTCCCTATTTAAATACAAATTTAAATCTTTTGCTTATTTAAATAAAAGTTTTGTTTCAAGTACAATTCTTACAATTCGTACAAAAAATTTGCTTATACGATAGATCTATTTCTGCAAGTATCGCCCTTTCAATCTGCCTATCGCTCTATTTCTCTCTCTGTCGCTTCCTTTGTTTCCTTTCTCCCTCTCGATTTGGCTATCAATAAATCTATAAATCACTCTCTCTCTCTCTGTTTTACCTATATTTCGGGTTTTCCCCCTTTCTCTCTCTCTCTCTCTCTTTCATTAGTATTATTCTCACTCTTGTGAGTTCTTAGTCATAATATTTTACATTGCACACATTTCATTCTGGCTTTAGCCTAAATGTATGCTCTGTTTAGTCTCTTATAAATATGCTATCTAGTGTACCAATAACACTGCATAATAATGATTTTGCTATAGGCTTAATAAGTTGTCAATTTAAAGGTCGTTTCTTCCCTAAATTTCATATATAACAATAGTTCTTTAATCTTTGATCTGGGAATTTTATCTCAAGTTTTACTTGATAGATCAATTCTTTCGATCCCTGTTGCAATATTAAATTATAGCTTCCATCTTATTCGCTTAATTACGCCTATAACTATAGAAAAGATAAGAAATTTCATATTTCTTGCAGCATATTTTCCGAATATTTTTGTTTATCTTTGGCATTCCGAAGCAATGAATTTATTAGAGATCTGCCCAAAATTAAATAAATACCCTGTTCGATAGCACGATAATGTTGATAGATAGAGTAATTTATTTATATATATTATATACATATATATGCATTAAATATATTAACTTTCTCTATATGTTATCAAGACAATGTGTTTTTTTTTTTTTTTATCGATTTTGGTATTTAATATGTTTCAATACACCCTATGAATCAGCCAGTTGATTAGATGGAGGGACTTTTACTACATGTAGTTCCATCAGCTAATGGAGCATTAGTCATTTGGGAGATACACACATAGACCTAGTCTAGACCCGATCAAGTTGAGCTAAGCCAATTTATTTGATTGATAAGTTTATCACATTAAACATGGGAATTGGGAAATGGGACTCATTGTTAATTATTAGTAAATCCATGGGGAATACGAGTACACGAATCAATCCAACTTCAACTTCAACCTCTTGCATTTAATTAGGCGAGAGCGGGCTAATTGAATGCACTCAAGAGTAGAGCCGAGTGAATTTCGATAGATCTATTTCGTTAGTGGTAGATATGTACATACATAGATACCCAGGTCTATAGTATATCTGAGGCTCCTACCTCATGCTCATGTGTGTTCTCTGTAATTAATGGTGATTCGAACTAGCCATTGGGCAGGAGGCGTACCTCGAGCTACGAAAAGGCTTGGCGTGTCAATGTCAAATAGTCAGAGACTGACAGCTACTGAGTGTGTCTGCATATGTGTGCGTGTGTGTGTGTATGTCACATGTGTGTTTGTATTTGGGTGTAAACGCATAAATTTCGTAAAACTGTAAGAGGTGTGTCCCCTGACGAAACGGCAGGCATTGGACTTTGGGCTTTGAAGGATTTGCTATAATTTCGACTAGGAAAAGCTTACATGCCTCCAGGACCTTGACGTGCGTGCAAAAATGTCAAAGGACATATAGATATATAAACACACGTGTCCACATACGCACATACGCCTTTCATTTACCTCACCAGGGGATTTCTATTTAGCCAAAGGCCAACACGTGCTTAACGTTGCCCTGATTAACTGCTAATCATTATTGGACTTCAATTGAGAATACATTATGCAGTCAGAGATTTGTACTCAAAGCAATTGACTGTCGGTCGGACAGATGTACTCTAGCTTGAGGACGTGCGGGAGGTTACGTGGGAATGACAGACATGGAGACATTGAATATTGGCATAATCAATCAAGCTTTGTATGAGGTGTGCAGAGAGGAAATGATGATCTTCAAGAATGTCAAATATAACTGCGAATATTTTACAGAGCTCTCAGCCTTATTCTAGAATATTTCTAGAAATATTTAAAGTTTCTTTTAAATTTTAATTAAAGACAAATTAAATTTTTTGTAGACAGGGTATCATCTGATCGATCAATATCCACTAGAGCAGCACTTCGCTTCACTTCTATGCATGTGGTTTGTGGCATTGAGTATTCTTGTGTGCGGCACTGAAACTTAAGATCTCTATTAATCGCAGATACCTTAAAAGTGAGTTCGCTGACCCAGTAACCCATAATTGATTTTATTGCTATTATTAGGAAATTGCAATCGATGTGATTCATTTTATTGGGAGTTTTTGAATCAAAGAAAATATATACGAAATGCTTATCAGTATGAGAAGCATGAAAGTGCTGATTAGAAATGTTGAAAGTGAAAGATAGAGAGAGAGAGAGAGAGAGATAGAGAGAGTGCTAAATTAGAGTCAAGATAGTAACAATGGTATACTATATAGAATATATTATATTCTGTATAGCAAATACAATTATATTGTGCAAAGAGTTTCAGATATTTATACCCAAATTTTGACAAATTTTTGCTAATTTGAATTTACAGACTTGACCTTTTAAAGTTATATAAAATATGAATTTTATAATATTATTGCTTAGTTAAAAAAATATACTTAAAGAAAAATATAAATCTTTGCCAACTCTAACTTCCCAGCTGGTCTACAGACTATCCCTTAGTCAATCACATACCACTTTATATATATATATATATATATATTGAAAAAATGCCTATTTGATTCTCCCACTGAGTCACTCTGACTTGTGCTTGTCGCAGTCGCTAATCATGGTAATGAAACTCTATATTATCAGACAAGAAATCGTTAAAAGTGTTACTCATTTTAAAGCAGTTTAGACATTCAATTTATGCATATCTGGAATTTTAAATATTACGTAAAATTATTTCCTCTTCTCTGATAACAAGAATATTTCTATACGAATTTCGAGTATGAACTAAGGGGTGGTTCTCTATAAATAGAAACCGGCTGTGTTGGGCCGCTCAAACAAGATTGTGGATCACATATGTGTATATAGTTGCTGATAAGGTTTTTCGGCAGGTTAATCTTATTTTGGGGGAATTTATACTAAGCAAAGATAATAGTTGCGGGCTTCGCAGTCGACGTCGCTGCCGGCGTCAACAATTGACGTCGAGTTGCGTCCGTTGTTCCTTCAAACCGTTGGGCGCTCATTTTCAATTTCAATTTTAGTTGCGAGTTGCTTTGCGTTGCGTGCGGTCGGCTGGTTGGGCTGGTTTGATGTTCGTTCTCAAGATAACGTATACGACGCGTATACGCAATATTTAGCTAAACAAATAATCGCGTTTGATTAGATTTGCCAATTAATTTCTTACGGCTTTTCGCTGTTTGTAATAATATTTGATCTCGCAGCACTTTGATAAGTGTCAGCTCTATAGATACATACATATACATATATTATTCATAGTGGTATGTGCATCAATGAGATATATTTTACTTCTATGTGTACAGTTTTTTTTTATTTATTAAAAAGACGAATTTGATATTCTGTAAATATTTTCAGCTGAAAATGTTAATTCAACGAACTGAAATATAGTTAACATAACTTTAGTTATTTGGCTGATAAAGTTATAAAACAGCAAATACTTAAGTGAATTTAAATAATATTTTTCCCAAAATCAAAATAAAATTTAAATGAATTCTGAATAAACAAATGATGAATAAATTAATTTGAAATTTAACTAAACATTTTAGTTTTAACTTTATCAATTTTGTTTTATTACCTAATCAAAATATTTAAAAATAAAAATCAAATTTACCTAGTGCCTAAGAAATTTGTTTTAAATATAATATACATAATTCAAAAAAATTTGTTATATTGAAACCTAATCAAAATATTTAAAAATAAAAATCAAATTTCCCTAATTTGTTTTAAATTTAATATAATAATTAAAAATAAAATGCTAATATTAATGGAAAAAAGTAGATAAGGTTTTCAAATGTCTGATTTCGCAATAATTTAGCCATGTTGAAACCTAATAAATTTATTACAAAATAAACTGAAATTTCCAAAAACAATTTATACATAGTTCCGTAATATTGCCCTCTGTACTGTAAAAGCTAATAAACCAAATGCGATTAGAAAAGTAGTTAAAATAATAAGAGGTGACACTAAAATAAGTGTTACAACGAACCAACAGATAAGATACATCGATAAGAGCGAAGCATGTTAAACATTGCGATTCCATAAATTCAGAGCAAACACGTCACACAGTCTGACACCCGGTGGCAAGTGCAAAGAGACGCGTTGATGGATAATATTCAGCTGGCAAAAGCAACGCACACAGCCAAACGCTCACCCACCCACACACCTGCGCACACCTGTCGAGCAGTGCACTGATATGATGATAGCTAGGCTAGCGAAACCAAGCAAGAGATATGACAATAACTAAATCATACCAAGTCCAAAAAAACACATACCTGCGATAAGCATTCATAGGAGCTCTACGAAAATCAAGTAAATGCGGAGTTGCTGTCTATGCCTATTAATCAATATATTATGGAAAAGAATACACTCCACAGGTATGAGTCAAGCCCACTATATGGAGGCCTATCAGCATGGAAACACCTTGCCCATGTTTAGTTTGGGTTTATCGTGGACTTCGACAGAACCCTCGCTGCCCGGAACGCGGCATTAACATGGCGCACTATCAGCGATAGAGCGATAACTGATAAGTTGCAAGTCTCTTTACTTAGCACACTTACCAACTATATGGGCATATAGAATAATATGTATATGTATATATGGTCGGCATTTTGGGTTGTACGTTCCCATTGTCGCGTACACAAAGAAAAAATCAAAGCCAAAACTCTAGTATTCATGGAAATTACAATGGGAACGATTGACATTATAACTCTATAATAACAGGGTTGAGACGTATTGGAGTTGAAACTATATTAGCATACAAATCATTTGGAATGGGCAAAGGAAAGCAAAGGAATCGTAGCACTTTAAGGAAAGTAATTGAGAATGTGAGAAAGTGGGAAAGTGGGAAAGAGAACGGATGGAAATGAATGGGGATAATAATATAAATGCCTCATATAAATGGGGTATAGGAATAAATGAAATTTGGAACAGGAATGAATGGAATTACAATCATTTTAATAAATATGAATGTAAAATGGAAATGGAAATGTTAATGCCAAAGACTGGAATCGATACTCTATTAGAGCTTAAATAGATTGGATCAAGAGTGGAAATAATTAAAATCAAAGCTCTTTAAATAATAAAATAAATGAAATTGAATTGAGATTTGAAATGAATGAAATTGAAATTCAGAAATTATTCAAATGAAATAACAACTAATGGAATGAATAGAATTCTTATTCAGAATAAGAATCAACACGAGGGGAATTGATGGCATTTATTGAAAGGGAATGAGATCTCTATAAATGCAATGGATTTGTATTTGGAATGAGACTGCTCCACATACAGTCAAATAGAGGTCAATATCAAATAGTCTTACAAGTGGCACTAGCTGAAAACAACATCTGTTCTATATTCAGAGGAATGCCACATGCATTTGCATGTAGTATGTGCCTCGGGCCAAATGCACAGACCGAACGTCATGCCTTTCCAGCACCGTCTGAGCCACTTCCAACCCCTCTTCGGGGGGGTATCGATGGTTGCCGCAGCTTGCAAATTTTCACATGCAAATAATTAGAGACAATTACTTAACTAATTGGGCTTATTACCAACAGGGCAGACCGCTTAGAAATACTGTGGAATTTATGACTAAAGGACTGCAAGGCCTATGAAGGCCTATGGCAATTAATGGGTTTTATAGTTGTGGTTAACATATTAATGAATCGCTGGGGCTTAATGGGATCCTATTATGAATTCATTGATTGTACTTAGAGGGAAATTAAGAACTTGAAATATATCCAATAATAATTTAACAATATATTTAAAGAATACCAAGAATACTAAGGTATACAATCTATATAAATGTTGCTAGATACATATATCTATAATTTAGACATAGTAATATGATAAATATAAGCAAGTTGAGAGCTAAACAGTGTCTAAAAGAGTTGTACCTAATATTATATCGTATTATTGGCAGACACTTTAGCGCCATTCGCGCCGCTTCTCTCTCACCTTTTGACTGGGTTATTCGTTCAGTTCGCTGCAGGGCCTAAGCCGTCTTTCATCAGTCATATTTTGTAGCCGCTGCCTGTTTCTACGAAGCTCAGCGGTTTTTTTGTGTTAAGCATAAAAGATTGTTAAATAAACATTAATGTAGAAACCCAAACATTTAAAATAAATCAAATCGACTCAGGTGTTAAGATTACGTGTAAGTTATGGGTATTACTTGGCGCTTATAAGCTGACTTTAACCTCATATCGAGCAGGGCTAAACAAACAACTCCACAACTTATATATAGTTTATCTATTAATGTGCATACTCTCTTGGTGGAATATACACATATATAAATATATACATATAACTCAAAAATATATGTGAATATATTCAAAGAAACTCTGTTATTTATTGGAATTTATACTATTTTATAATTTAATACCCGAATAAAAATACCTTTTACTAAGAATATACTCATTAAATTCCTAAAATATATAAAAGCATATTTTGTATACATATTATTTAATACCCTCATAAATATACTTTCTACTCAGAAATTATTTATATGATAAAAGACGATTTCCTACATATAGAAATTTATATTATTATACATATTTTATTATTAGCCTCATATAAATACTCTAGAAATATTTATTGAATTATTCAAATATATACCCAATTGGAATGTTTGCCAGAAAACCATTTGAATCAGAATCATTCATAGAATATTCACTTCTTGCAGAACAATAAAATTCTGAGTTCTTGTAAAATGTATTCAGCAATACGAATGTGATGTAAATGTTATTAAATTGTCGAAATAGCTAGGCTATCAAAGCGTTATTGATAGCAATGGCCATAAATAGGATTGGTACAATTATGGAACTCATAAAACTAGGTTCAGTTTTAGGCTGGTTATCTGTTATCTTATCAAAACGAAAGTCGCAGTTTTATCGACTATTCATGCTGACAAACACCTGGATTACATTCATATATCTAATCTAACGGGTATATGTATACATCTAGGTGGTGTAGAACTTGCTAACCAACCAAAAATAAGTACAATTTTAATTGTATCATCAGTCGGATTATGTCGCTGCACTTGATAATTACAATATTAGTAGTTGAACTACATTTCGTGCAGCTATTTAATTAAATAGATTGAAATCGATGACAGTTTTTTTTAGCTAATAATTGTTTTATGAACGATTTCCGTTGCAGTTGCAATTTGGAAGCCCATCAAGATGGTTGCCCGGAACAAACCGGAGGAGAAAGCTAAATGTATAGTCAAATACCGTCAGCATTATTATGATTTAACCAATTTTTTGCACAAGCATCCGGGCGGACTAAATACCCTCAAGGGTCTCAATCAGATCGATATGACATCGCGCTTCATGAAAGCTCCGCCGCATTCGGATGCTGCAATGTACCTGATGCGCGAGTACAAAGTGGATTACGATGGAGAGAATAGCGCGAATGAGCGCAGGGCGGAAAAGCTGGCGGAGAATGGAGTTGAGCTGCTGGCTCAGCAGTCAGCGGCACAAAATTCGGAGGACAGCAACAACAATCAGTTGGATGAGAGCATGGAGGTGAGTGTGAGGTCGAATAGATAAATAAAATACGACTACATTTGACTCACTTCACTCATCTGACTCTTTATTCATAGTTCGTTTCACTCTTCTCTGTTTCTCTACATGCTAGTCCATATGCCATTTTTTGTTCTTTACAGTTGTCATCTGAAGCTCGTTTAAAAAATATAAATACTATTAGTAACACATTAAAGACTAGGTTTGGTCCAGTTTTATCCAATTTGGTCAAGTTTATCCAGAGACCAAGTGATATTGCTTGAGGTCAGAAACCTTTTTTTTCTTGGAGTGGGAGATCCTTTTCTTTGATTGATTTTAAACACTTAACGCAATTCGACTTTGTCTTAGAGATTTCGCGATTTAGCTGCTCTCACATAGACCTTTGCCTTGGAGTAAATGCGTATCTCGTCCTCGACGGAGGTCAGTTCCTTATCGATCTCAGCCTTACGTGAACGCACTCGTAGAGTTTGAGTAGTCATGGGCATGTGATTCAACTCGTTAATGAGCAACTCAAAGCCTGAAAAATGAAAATTGAAGCGAAAAATGATTTGAATTGCATTTATTGAATTACAATGGGCAACTCACGATTTTGGGCAGCTGCCAAAGCGGCGAGACGTTCCGGTTCACTCATCAAGACGTGACCACGTGGACAGTCTGGATCGCGTGAATCTGCACGTTCTTTGGCCTGGGCCTTCTCGCGCTTCTCCTTTTCCAAATAGCGCGGCAAGCGCAAATCATCGCGTGCTGCAAAAACATTTAAACAACTCTAGTAAACAAGATGCAAAATGATTATTTACATGTTATACTCACAGCCCAGCTTGTATTCGCTGCGACGCTTTGATTTGATGGTCATATTTGAAGCCTCGGTGGCGATTGTTTCGCGACTGCGTCCACTCAATGGTGCCTCTTCATCATTATGCTCAAAGCCTATGTTCTCAATTTCTGGCAAGGGCATGGTTTCGTTGTCATCAATATCTAAGGCACGCTGTTTGGCAAATTCATTTGATCGAGCTGACAGTGGCTGTTTGGGGAATTCATTGGATCGAGCTGACAGTGGCTGTTCGTCTTCATCATTGTACTGATCGTAGTTCTGGTCGTAATCATAATCGGGTCTAGCATCGTCGCGATACTTACGCCCCTCACTTAATACGGTCTTACTGTCAAGATTGCACCTATAATACATTCAAAGAAAGTTCGCATTGTGTTTGCTATAACTAGAGAGAGAAACTTACTTTTTGAGTGCATTAGTTAAATAAATCTCATCCGTGATGTCGTCTGTCTGTATGGCAATGCTGGTGCCACTGCTGTGTTCGCTGTTACATGACTGACAACGCTTCGATGATTGCTGAACTGTTTGCATTTGTTGTTGTGGTTGCGGTGGATATGTTTGTTGAACTGGTTGCAGTTGCGACTGCGACTTCGATTGTGTTGGACGAGCTTTTTTGTCTTTCTGTGATTCACGTGCATCTGGCTGCGGCTTGTCCAGGCTATGCTGCGAACGTGTGTTCTTTTGAGGACGCAGCAAGCAGACTTCATCATCGACATGTCGTGAAGACAATCTTTCTGAATCGCAGCGCTGCGCCTCACGCACCTCGGACGCAGTGCGACGTAGCGGGGGCATCCATTTGGGACGTACTGGCTTTTTAGCAGCAAGCTTCTCAGTGGTTGTCTTTTCCAATGAACGTAAGCTCTTTTTGTTCTCCTTTAAGAAGTTACGTCCTGGTGTGACACCTATGGACAAATTGTATTCATATTTATTTATGGTTGCCATGGCTCTTTGGGAAAAGCTATACTTACGCGGCACTGAAAACATGCCTTGCAATGTGGGTATTGGGGCACGTACTGTGGTGTTCGACATGTTTCTGCTAAATTTTGGTTAGCCAGAACACGTAAATATGTGTTGATATATAGACACAATTTTAATTTTACCGTGTTTGTCAGCTTACACGGAATGAAACCAACCGATCCGTTCAAATGTCAGCTTTGAAGTAAAACAAACCAGCTGCTTGAGACGCCAACTTTTGATTGATTTCATATACATATATCGATAGGCAAAATAGTCAAAAAACGTATGGCCACCTTCTGAAAGTATCGAAAAGCCGCTGGCTGACTAATAACGGTTATTATCAACTTTCCATCTTTTTGTTGTTGTAGCACCTCGTGGACTGGTCAAAAGCTATGCTGCCACAAATTTCAAAAATAACAAAGCATTATGATGAATGGGTACACAAACCAGTCGACAGACCGCTGCGTCTATTTGGTCCTTGGTATTTGGAAATGTGCACGAAAACGCCTTGGTGGGTGGTACCAATGTTTTGGATCCCAACAATTATTGCATGCGGATGGGATGAGGTCCAAGCAAACTCACACAATATGAAAGAAGTAAGTTATTGACATTTACATTTATTACTTACATATATAAACGTTATCCTCTCCATTAGATCACAACAGTCATCAGTCATTTGGTCTTTGGTGTGATATTTTGGACACTTCTGGAGTACTCATTGCATCGTTGGGTCTTTCATGTACGATTGACAAGCAACAGTGGACCTTGGCTATGCACATTTCACTTCTTGATACATGGACTACATCACAAAGTCCCATTTGATTCGATGCGTCTTGTTTTCCCGCCGTTGCCTGGAGTTATCATTGCTGTCGTTATATACACGCCGTTAAGCATTATTCTACAAAATTATCATCCCCGTTTGGTGCTTTCGGGTGCTCTTCTAGGATACCTGTGCTATGATATGATACATTATTATCTACATTACGGTAATCCGTCGGCTGGTCATCATTTGTACCGCATGAAAAGGTATCATTACCAGCATCACTTTGCCCACCAAGATCTCGGTTATGGCATTAGCAGCCCCATTTGGGATTTTGTATTTAAGACACGCATACACTTGAGGAAGTTAAGATACCAAATACGATGGTCGTAGGAGTCGTTTGGTCGTTTTGCAACGTTTTGCTGTATGAGAACAAATTAAAAATTTAGAAATTAAAATAAATAAGATGACAATTTTATTAAACTAAGAAATAATATACGATTAACTGTATTTTATTATTAAAGTTAAGCACATAAAATATTTTAATATGAACTTAAGTATATATATTATATACATAAGTGATAATAAATATGTTTGAACTGACGATATATTTATTTTCTTTTTATTTGTTTTTATATTTTCCAATTCAAAATACACAGAGGTGCTTTTAATTATTTGACGATGTATCTATTTATCTATCGATATGTCGAAATTCTTATGATTAAAAAATATGGCAACACCTAGTTCATGTTGAGAAAGTGTAGGCACTCTTGTTTGTTTATTTGTTTATTTATTGTTTTAATTTGTAAAAATGCTTAATGCGAAAATTGGAAAAGTTGGCAAAGTTCTGGTATGTGGTATGAAAAATGTCGGGAAAACTGCACTAATCGAACAATTGGTATATGGGAATGTTAACACCGAAACAGTAAGTGGGCCATGATTTTTTTGTCCATATGTTTTTCCAGTCTACATATTTATCTAAATAAATTGATCTGTTTAAAGGAGCTGCATCCAACGATCGAGGATATATATGTGGCGAGTGTGGATACAGGACGTGGTGGCGCTCGGGAAACCTTGCGAATCTACGATACAGCCGGATTACAGGGCGAACAAGCAGCTCAGCTGCCGCGTCACTATTTGCAATTTCCCGATGCTTTTGTACTAGTTTATGATCCAACAGATCCACGTAGCTTAGATATGTTGGCGGACATCAAGACCGACATAGACAAGCACAAGGAAAAGAAAGAAGTGCCTGTGATTGTCCTGGCCAATGTTCGGGCTCGCAGCAAAAAGGATACGCCACCCGCAACACCTATTCCCGTCGAGTCCATAATGGATCGAGCGAACAATTGGTGCCAACGTGAACGCATTAAGCATTACACTGTCAATGTTATGGAACGTCCGTCGCTCTACGAACCCTTCACAATGTTATGTGCCCGTCTCCATCCACCACAGACGAAGAGCACCTTCCCTCAGCTTCGCCAGGTGATGCAGAATCGTCAGAAAAGCGAGGTTTAACAAGTGCAATCAGATCTGAAATATGAAAATCCTAACTCTAGTATAGAAAATGACTAATGCAAATATGTTCAAGTATTAATCACCCCATTTAATTTATTACTCTCAATGTGCGCTGGGCAATAATGTGGCCCATGCAAATGTATAAAATATTCTTAGTATATAATATAAATAGAAGGTATGCTAATTCTATTGATAGTGAATTCACCCATTGTCGCAATTAAGCCTAATCAGCATTCGAATAGCGTCACAGACGAAAAGCAATTTGAACTTTGGAAACATCAGCGATTCGGGGTATTTTCACTAAAAATTTTGTATTGCTGCGACAGCTTCTCGTCTTCCTCTTAGATTAGTATAAATTCGGCTCTTGAATTGAACATGACCGCTCAGAGTTTAGTTGTTGCCTTGGCGGCGATGCTTGCGATTGCACATGGTCTAAGCATAACGGTGCCCGGCACGAAATGGTGTGGTCCCGGCAATATAGCTGAGAGCTATGATGATCTGGGCACTGATGTGGAGCTGGACATGTGCTGTCGGGCGCATGATAATTGCCACGAAAAGATCTCACCTAGCACTGAGCTCCACGGTCTGACCAACAATGACTTATTCCCCATGTGAGTGTTGAGAGATGAGAAATGATCCCTGATTACAGCTCCTACACATCTCTCGTCGCCAACAGCTTCTCCTGCGCCTGTGAATCGAAGTTTCGACAGTGCCTGAGCTCGCTGCACAACGTGGAGTCGGCTGCCTTGGGTCGCATATACTTCAGCACAAGAAATCAGTGCTTTGCCTATGGGCCGCCAATCGCATCCTGTGAGGAGCAGCAGTGGGATCTATTCATGAAGCGTTGTCTAAGCTACAAAGTGGACGAATCTCAACCTTACCGCTGGCAGTTCTATGATTTGGCCTTCTACACGCATCCCAGCGCCGAGGAGAATTAAGCAGTTCTATTGAATTCAGGCGCAATTTTGCGATAAGCTTTTCGGTTTATATAAAGTGTATTTCGATTTTATATATATGTGTATATATACTTTGTTGATTAGAGCTCTGTGGGTCAAGGTTTGGCGATTGTATAGAATGGCATATCGTAGAACTGCCAGAGTTTGGCTGCCCGCTTGTTCACCGTGTACCGAATGCAACGCCTGCGTATGGCGCCTAGCTGATACTCCTTGCATCCAGTGGTGGGATAGCCCTGTGCAAAGCATCTGTGCCGTGTTGCATAGTACACGCGACCCATGGTGTTCGATGTCAACGTGTTGACGGCCTGCAAGCAGTTGATGAACTTTTGCTCGCAGCTGCACTTCAAGCTGAAACGAAAGGAATCTTAGATAGGTCGAACTATTGATTTTTCAAACCACCTACATGGGAAACCAGTCCGTGTTGCTGGGCAGACCGTGAATGGAGCTGTGCGGCCCCATGATATCATCGCAATGATCGTGCTCCCGGCAACACTTGTCCGTATCACGCTCCCGGCCCAGATCATCGTAGTTGGCTGCCGTATTGCCAGGTCCACACCACTTGGTGCCGGGCACCGTGAGCCCTGTGTGGTTCACAGGAGGCAACGCCTGGTTGTAAATGTCTTCGTCTTCGAATATGGCCTCGTCGCCAAACGCGAACGAGCCGCCAATAAAGGATAATACTAGTAAGAAAATTTCTGCTCTCATGTTGATTGTTGTCGGTTGAAGCCAAAAGTGAAACTGAGCTATCAACAGCTGCTTTACCGTGTGGATCAGCTGATAAGAGCTGAGCCGAGTTGATAACAAATTTTTTTACGCTTAAAATTAATATTGCAATTACTTTGTATTGTTTTTTACAATAAAATATTATTTAGCTTCAGAACGAGCTAAATGTATTTATTACATACATATATTCTAAAAATAGTTTATATATATCTGAATCTAACAAGTTAATTAATAATTTCCTTGAATAACTCGGACGCTGTTCGTTTCTTCATCTTTTCAGGTTTTTGCTCTTCCTCCACCTTTTGGCTCAGACTCGCCTGCCACTGAGTGGGCGACAGTTTAAAGGTGTCCAAACGATATTTGGCATAGATAAGCTGCCCAAATGGCGAACCCTTGGTCATGTTGGCCTTTGAGGTTAGCTCCTTGGCAATGCGTAGCTTTTGCGCTTCCTGGGCCGCCTTGAAGCACTGCTCCAAGGCGCGTGATCCATGCCGTGTGATAGCCAGATCCACATAGAAGCCCTCCAGTTGGCGGATAAGACGCTCTCGTGACTTCTCGCCAATATATGTGCTCTGCATGAACGCGTCGACAATGTGGGAGCCATTTGGCGTGTTGAACACTTGCGCCAGCTGCGCAGCCGGCAATTCCAGAATGCTGTTGACCAGGAAAATGGGCTTGTTGAATTTCAGCAAATGCTGAGCTATCAGCGAGCCATGCAAGTGCACAAAGGTCGACTGATCGTCCACCACAACCTCATACGGCTTCAGCTTGATCAGGCAGGTGAAGAACATCTTCGACTTCTCTTTGTCGCGGGTCACATGCAGAGCGCTCTGCAGTGCGGCGATCATTTGCGCCTGCTTGGCGCCCAGCCGGAGACAGGCGCCGCTTAAGGCAGACACTACGCCAGTTAAGCCGCTCTGGAGCAGCTCCTCAGTGTACGGTTGTAGCTCATTAAAGGCTGACTCGAGGTCAGACGCCTCATGTATGTTATTTAACAGACGTTGCACGGCAAAGTTGGTTTGCCGCTGCAGTGCCAGGTGAGCTATGCGACCGCTGAAGAGCATGGCAAAGAGCTGTGTCAGCAGCTTGGCACCTGCCACACTCAGAAGTGTCTCCAGCAATATTATCGCGCTCTGGTAGTGGAAGACTTTGGGTAGTACCACATCAGCTTCAGATTCCGGTGGCGGTTCAGTATCAGCATTGGCTTCTTTAGTTTTTGTAGCCGATTTCTCTTCTTCACCTTTATCTTTATCAACTTCTATTTCATTTTTAGCTTCCTTTAGCTCATCATTATCGTCAGGATTTGCCTCATCGTTTGGTTTTAGAAAACTTTCCATTAGGATTTTCTTGCCAAAATGCTTGAGCATGCTCTTATCAACGACGCCCAGAGCAATGCATATAGCACCCAGTAGGGCAGACGTCTGATCCTCGTAAGGAAAGTCTGGAAACTGTGGCCACATTTCCAAGCGCTGTGGAAACTCTTTCATTACTTCATGCCATTCCTCTGGAACTGTGTAAAGTTTTCGATACTTGGCCATGTCTACGCCGCTTTTTTCGAACGCTATTTTGGGCACATGAACGCCAACTAGGCAGAGTATAGCTGTACGCATGATGTGTGTGGCGCACGAGTCCCACACAAAGTCCTCCAGATTGTTCAACATGAATTTTGAGATGCGAACCACGAATTGACGACACTGCTCACGATGTTCGTCGCTGAACTCGGTCTCCAGATTGTACTGCTCCTCGATTTGTGCGGCATCGGGCTTTGGTCGTTTGGCAGCATCCGATTCAGTTTCTGACTTCTGTGCTGCATCTTTACCCAATGCTCGAAGAAATGCTATTTCCAACATCTTTTGCAGAACATGGGATGCAAAACGGTCAGAGCACATGGGACGGAGGCTCTCACCAAATTTGGTAAAGTAGCGCTCTAGATGTGGAGCGTCCACAAATCCAATTAGAGACTCGAGAGCTTTGGACACTATTTGATTGGATGCTAAACGAATTTCCTGCTCATTTGTCTGGTCAAATACATTGTTGGCCATGTTAACTATTGTAAAAGAGAAATCAGTTGGTAAATTCACACCAAATGTATTATGTAGTTGCTACAAACCTCGTTCCTCCACATCGCTGAGACCAGCCTTCATTGCATCCAAGATGTTTATGAAGTAACTAAATTGCTCATCATCAATGTGTGTTCCGCGACCGAAAATACCCTGCTTGGCGAATCCCTTTGCATTTTGTAAAAACCGACTTCCCTTCTTCTTTGGTTTTTTACGTTTTCCACCATTTCCCGATTGCATGATTGTATTTTATATACTGTCAGAAAGTGCAACTTTACGATGCAATAGAATAACTGGATGTATTTTATATTCTATCACAACGTGCGCCCACAACTATTTCGATAGCTAGAAGTGTGGTCGATTGTCCGATTATTATCGTTGCTTGGTGCTGATACAATATTCTTCATAAACCTTGTATCGATAGATTAGTCAAATTTGTCGTCGACTGCTCGATTGCTATCGTTGGATGGCGTTGCCGTACTACGAACACTATTCAAGCAGCGTCCATCTCTCATAACTACAAAATAAGCGTCAGTTTTAAGCAAACTATTTCAGAATGGAGGAAACACACGATTTCCAATTCATTTTACCATTAAAAAATAATGATTTGCTTAATTCACGCGGCGATCAGTACTATGTACAACAGGTATACACTACCAACGAAATACCAGACCAATTGCTTGGTAAGTAAAGCGTTATAATCAGTGCGCGAAGCGGCGCGCGCTCATTTCAAGCGCACAATCGGTAAACAGAAAAGAACTTACTTCCATTTCCTCGTTCACAGCATGTAAAAGTAAATTACACCAGCGTGATCCATTTTATATATTCGAACATTTTGATACCTATTATTCGGTAATCGAAACATCTGCAAATGAGCCAACGGCCATACGGAATCTGAAGCGTGCCTTCGATCTTCTATATCTTACCGTGGACAGATTAGGGGAAGAACTGACGCCGCTGTTAAGCAGCATTGAGCCACTGTCCACACACGATCGTGTGCGCTATTTAAATTTGACTAAAATGACCATGTACTTGTTTGTCAATGTCGTGAAGCGGATTGACTTCGTTGTCCACCAGGCGATGCGAGATCAGCAGTTGAACCAGCAGAAAAAGCGAGCCAAGCAGGGCGAGGTATTGGAAGAGTATCCTGATTGGGATGTGAAGCGTGGCAAGTTTCTGGTGCAGCTCTATAATATTCTACAATGCCCTTTAGAGAAACTCTGGAGTCCTCCAGTTGCCGAAGAAAACTTTGTAACGTAAGTATGAAAAGTTTCCATTCATTTAATACTGATTACTGATGAAGCGATGTCTTCCTTTTGCAGCATGCTGTGTGATATTTGCTATCGCACTTTGGAGTCCGTTCCTCCGCGATCGGATAACCGACATATTATTGACACCGTTTTCCAAATCTTTGGCATCGCCATCAAACGATATAATCACGCCATCACTTTTCCGGCTCGCATACTCCAAATACTGCGCAGCACTGAGCATGCGGCAGTAGCCGTAGCAAATGGCATTTTGTTGCTGCACGAGGAATACGGCATCTCAACAGTCTTCTCCATACTGATGAAAGATATTGTTGAAGCTCTCACACTGGACACAGCGGATACGGCAGTCTCGCGAAACTTTTCCAATTTCCTGGCCGAGTTCGCCAGCATTGCGCCCAAGCTGATGATACCCCATCTATCCCAATTGGGCGATGATATGCTCGACTGCGAGTCGCATGTGCTGCGCAACTGTGTGCTCCAGATAATGGGCGATGCTGTGGTTGGCGAGCTGACCTCTGAGGGGCTGGAGGACGATATGAAAGAGGCGCGCAACGAATTTCTCGATCATTTGCTGGACCATGTCAATGATGTTTCGGCACATGTGCGATCAAAGGTCCTACAGATTTGGCATCACCTGAATACGCAGCACGCAATACCGCTCTGCTTTTTGGTCAAAGTGCTGCGCGAGGCAGTCTGTCGGTTGGAGGATAAAAGTTCAATGGTGCGAAAGTCCGCCATACAGCTGATCAAGGCGTTTCTCGAAAACAACCCGTATTCGGGAAAGTTGAAGCTTGAGGAATTGATGAAGAACCACGAGAAGGAAGTTAAGGTTATGGAAGAGTTGGATGAAGTGATAGAGAAGGAGCGGGAGCAATACAAAAAGATGGACGAGGAGTGGGATCTCATCGCGCCCGACCTGTTGCCCATTATTGAGGAGAATATACGCTTGTGTAAGTTTGATTCTTGTGGCTTAGCTTGAACACAATTTACTTAGCTTTCATTTGCTTATCAGTTCCAGAACTGGAGTTCAACAAGGAGGAGGAGTACGATGAGATAGTGAAAAAGGTTTTGGAGCTGCTGTTGCAAAAGAATTACAAAGATGCCACAATACTCGTGCGTAAAGCAGACTTTGCGGCGGGCAACGAACAATTGAAGTGGGTGTTTCATAATAGCTTTAATGGAATATTTATTTAAATTTAAATATGATTTTTATTCCCAGTCAGCTGCTGAAGCCAGAAGAGCGTTGTGTATATTTTATGGCGCTGTTCAAAACGTTTATCTCACTTGCCAATGGCTGCAAGGATAGCGTAAGCTCAGATTTATTTATAATTAGTTCACACTATATTTAATTATAAACTTTTTAGAGCGAGGAAATGCAGAAGCAAATAAAAACTGTCGAGTTTCTGAAGGACAGCATCGAGTTCTCTCATGTGGCGACGGCCGCGATGCCAAAAATTATGGAACTGCTGCTGTCGAAGACGAACACAGATGTGTTTGAGGCCGTGGATCTGTTCACCACGGGCTATCTGTTTGGCATCCATGGCACAGATGCGGGCATGCAACGGATGCTGAGTCTGGTCTGGTCATCCGATAAGGAGAAGCGTGATGCTGTTTGCAATGCCTACCGCAAGGTGCTCTTCACCACGGATAAGACGGAGCGCGCGCATGCCATTAAGGTGGTGCAGAATCTCTCCAAGTTTCTCTCGGAAATCGAGTATGGACACTACACGGCCATGGAGACGTTGATGACCGAATGGGTGGAGAGCGAGGACATTGATGCGCTCATTATTCAGGTGCTATTCGAACGCTTTACGCTGAAGCTGGAGGGCACCACGAACGATGAGTCCCGCTTGGCTCTGCAGCTGCTGATTATGGCCTCGCAAGCCAAGTCAACCATAGTCTCGGCCAATCGAGCTATCATAGAGGATATAGCGACAAGCGCTCGTGCCAAGCAGGATCCTCGCATCTTCACCAGCTGCTTGCAGCTCCTCGTCAATGGCATCGAGGCGAACAACAACACAAAGTATTATAAGCGTTGCGCCAGCGATGCCAAATTCGTGCAGCAAATTACGCAGCTATTTCTGAGCTTCTTCTTCCATCCACAATTGCCGGACTTTGATGCCATGGGCATGAGCGTGTTCGAGTATTATTATCGGATGTGCCAAGCGCCCGACGAGCTGGCTCAGAATATTGTGCGTGAGCTAATTGATCGCTTTCACGATCAGTGGCTGGTGTCAATGTCTGCCGAGGAGCCTGTACAAACGCAAACGACGGACATTCCACACTCCCAGCCCTTGCCCATGTCACAGACCCAGTCGCAGCCTAAAGTTGCCGAGGATCAACAGGTCGGGCTGCCAGTATATTTGGTTACACGATTTCTGTTCTGCGTTGGCTACATGACCATCAAGGAGATGATATTCCTGGATATGGATGTGTACAACAACATGAAGTATCGCGAGGAGCTGACAGCGCTGGAAGAGAAAAAAAATAAGAAGGATGCGGGCAGCGCACTGCGACGCCAGACAATGAACGTCTCTGCGATGGAGGCGAGGAAGCGCTTGTCCACCGTTGCCGCAGAGCCGCAGCAGGAGCCGGATGACGATCTAGTGGGTGCGACGGCAGAGGATAACATTGCCGAGGAGATCAATGCCATTTGCGAGGACATGCTGCTATACGATCCGAATGCGCTGATGTCCAAAATCTATCCAATTATCATCAACATATGCAAGCGACCTGGCGAGTATCGAGATCAGGATTTGCAACAGGCTGCGACGCTGGCACTGGCGCGCCTGATGACCGTCTCGTCCAAGTTCTGCGAGTCCAACATGTCCTTCCTCATGAACATTCTGAACATGACGAAGAACATGAAGATCAAGTGCAATACAGTGGTGGGCTTATCCGATCTGACATTCCGTTTCCCGAACATTATTGAGCCCTGGACGGGACACTTTTATGCCCAGCTGCACGAGGAGAATACGGAACTTCGCCTGACCGCCGTGAAGATGCTGTCGCATCTAATTCTGCATGAAATGATACGGGTCAAGGGGCAAATAGCGGACTTGGCTCTGTGCATTGTCGATGAGAGCGACGAGATCAAAAATATCACCCAGCAATTCTTCAAGGAGATTGCCAACAAGTCCAACATATTGTATAACGTGCTGCCCGACATCATCTCCAAGTTGGGCGATGTCAATCTGCACCTGGAGGAGGACAAATATCGCACGGTCATGCGCTACATACTGGGCCTCATTCAGAAGGATCGTCACATCGAGACGCTGGTGGAGAAGCTGTGTCTGCGTTTCCCCGTTACACGTGTCGAGCGCCAGTGGCGCGACATTGCCTACTGCCTGAGTCTGCTCACCTACAATGAGAGATCCATTAAGAAGCTGATTGACAACGTGCAGCACTTCAAGGACAAGGTGCAGGTGGACGAGGTCTATCAGTCCTTCAAGCTCATCATCACCAATACCTCGAAGCTGGCCAAGCCGGAGCTGAAGGCGGTCATCACGGAGTTCGAGACGCGGCTCAACGAGTGCCTGCAGGTCAACGAACAGGGCACGGATGCTCCTCAGTCCGACAAGGGTCACAACGAAACGAAGGCCAAGGGCAACAAATCGAAGAAGCCATCAACCAAACCGCAGCGCGGACGTGGCTTAGGAAAGGGTGCAGCGGGCAGCAGCAGACGTGGACGAAACGCGCAACAAGAGAGCAGCTCCGAGGACGATAACTCCGAGGAGGACAGCTCCGAGGAGAGCTCCGATAGCAATGAGGCGCCCGCAGCGCGTCGTCCGCAGTCACAGAAAAAACCACAGCAAAAGGGCAAGAAGCTAGCGCCTTCGTCCGGCTCCAGTGAAGGCTCCGAGGAGGAAGGAGCGAGACCCACGAACAAAAAGCAGTCAGCCAGGCGAGGACGCAAATGATATCGTCGGAAATTCCGACACCAATTTTGTATTTATAATCTTAACTTATTCTTTACAATAAAGTCTACATTTTTACTATTTTAAATTCAGGCATTTACATCAATTTTAGCTTCTTCCCCTGTCAAAACCATGTGGCATGTTGACAGTCGATGACAGATTAGGAGAAATGAAGAATAGGAGTTCACACATACTCACATACATATACTTACACCCACACACTTCCATTAATGCTCTAATCTGCTTTGTGGGCAATTCACAAATGCTCACTGAGTCCCGTTGCCTTTGGTTTTTATTCTATTCTGAAGAGCGTTTAATTGTAATCCCCTTATATTGTCACTTTCGTGGAAGCAGCTCAGCAGCCGTTCAGGTTTTCATACAGAGTGTTCCACTTCCACTGTACACATGCGCATCAGTGTTGCCAGCTGTTAAGTTGGATTGTGAAATGTAGGATAAAGCCGCTAAAATAGCAGATTAGATAAAAAGTTGAAGAAAATGACACAAGCACCAAATATATTTAATAAATTATTGCAGTGACCATCATGATATATATATGAAAATAAAAAATCAAACTTAATAATTTGACACACAATATGTAGTATTTCCTCTAAGTATTTCTTCTATCTTATCTCCAAATATTTCTTCTCAGTCTTTTCTCCAAGTGTTTGCTCATAAAATTTTGTCTAAGAAAGTCAAAGTCCTCCAAGTATTTCCTCTAAGAATCTCTTCTAATTCTTTCTTCCAAGTCTTTTATGCTCAGCTGATCGATCACACACTTTACTTCACTTTACTCCGCCATACTACTGACCCCCAACAGACCTGGGTGACTGAAGAACCTCTGCTGCTGCTGCCCTTTATATAGGGCCACTTACGCTCTCAGCACAAGTTGCGCTCAAATGTTGAGCCCGACGTCAGGTAGAGGTCGTTGCAATCGAGCTTTAATTGACCAATGGGAACGCTCTCTGCTGCTGTGAGCGTTCGAGCTTCGTTTTACTCAACTATAAATACGAAATGCATAATGCTGCATACATAAAGAGAACTTGAATGATCTATTGTAGCACTTCTTCGTCAGAGAGACAAAGAGACAGACGGAGGGACAGCCTGTGAGATGGATAGGGAGACAGATAAAGACAGAAATACATACAGGCATACAAACAAATATTTATCGGCATATACAGACATATAAACAAATATATATAGGCAATCAAACACGAATAGTTAAATCCGATTACCACATTAGGCTGCTCAAGGCTAAATGTTGATATGCTAAATCGCTTATGTACATTCGTATATACATACAGACATATTTTAAATTATTGCAGCAGTTTCTTCTGTTAACGACCAGGACTACTCTTAAGGATCAGGACCTGTCTTAAGGACTAGCACCTTAGCATAGTCTACGTCCCATTTCTGGCTACTCCAACCCATACTTATTTTCAATAGCCCACTTCCAAATAGGCTAGATCTAGCCTGAAATAGGCTAAACTGTCAACACTGATGTGCATAGTTTGGCTTGAATAGCAGGTACTCGGAGCAGTTTTGTTTTGTGTTTTGGCATAAGCGAGGGCAATGAAAGAAATTTTAATGCGTTTGTTCAATAATTTTGTTGAACGGAAATTCGAACATCATAAATGAGAGTCAATGAGTAAACGCAATTCTTATTGGTCTTATTGGCAAAACAAATATTTGCTAATAAATAGGAGTTATTATTATTGTTAGTATTCATTGTTATTATATTGTTGATATTAGTTATTATTAGATTGTTAATATTAATTAATTGAGTATTCCATATTATAAGTGTTTCGGTCTCATTTTCATATTTCATTACTGATATTCTAATATTGCTTTTAATACTTGTTTTTCTTTACTTTGTTATTATATATTTTGATGGAGCTTTCCATTAATTTCAAGTAAATTCTGAAGAACTTAAAGCACTGGTGTGATTCTGTGACCCCAGATTTTCCTATTTCAATGGGGTCAGCATTTAAAAAAAAAATCAGATAATTATCTTTATTACCCAAAGCTCCCAGTAATGTAAATGGTATGCATAGCATTTTTATAAATAAGATCATTTCGCTAACGAGAAGAGAAGCAGTGAAACGATGATATTAGAGGATGTCAGTCTGATCATGATTACAAATCAGATTTCATGGGCAGTTAATGAGCATCGCTGTGGCACATTGAATCTAAAATCTTACAATTCAGAGCTCAGCACACAAAGAAAGCACAATTTATGGCCGTTAATTAAATTATGTGCAATATGGACCGCAAGATAAAAGAAGTCAAAATATTATGTAACTAGATACGCAGACTCAATCAGAGACGCCGTCAGCCAGGCCGTCAGCCAGCCAGACACGTGTGTGCAGGCCCATGGCGACGGAGGAGTTAATGGGGGTGGCTGGGCGTTGGCAACGGAGTCTGTGCACTACGTACATATGTATTTGTGTGTGTGTGTATTAGTGCGGCGAGCGGCAAATCAACGAGAGCTGGAAAAAGTCAGTCAGCCAGTCAGCCAGTCAGGCGGCAGCCACCCTCAATGCTGAGTGCTTCCAGCCTTGGCAACATTTGCACATTTAGCCAGTTGCCAAGCGCCGCCCTCCGTTGCCAGGTGTTGCTGTTGATGAAGATGATGATGATGAAGGGTCACCAACGGCAGCAGTATGCGGCAGCTGTGTGCGGCAGCAACGTCGGCTCTGCTGGTGCCATTAACATGCTCATTACATGTGTCGCGACTTTTTTGCTGACGCGTGTGGGACGTGCACGCGAGACGAACGCGCGCCCTGCAGACAGACGCCCATTATCCGGGGCTATTAGCATTAGCGGGCTTACCTGTCGCCGCGGATTAGTGCTTGGTGGCTCGGACGTGTTGCGGTCAGACCTGTGCTTACACCCTGTATCGATAAGAGATGGATTTTTGTATTATAATGCAGCAGGCTGAAGGCTGAGAGCAAAGTATTTAGTGAGTCTTAATATACCTTTATACATTTGTGTGAATAAAATGAAGATATAGGCTGAAACAGCGAGAGAGAGAGATAGAGAAAGACAGAGAGCGAGAGCAAGACAATTTAAGATGGAGTTAATGGGAAAATGTAGTAGATATATGTAGATAGAGGAAAAAAACATAAAAGTCTCCAGGCATATGGAACTGAGCGTGAGATAGGGAAAGATTGAGAGAGAGAGAGTCAGATTGAGAGCGAGAGAGTTTACATGTATCCCTCATTTTCTTGTTTCTGTATACCTTGCTTTTTATCTCTCTCTCTCTCTCTCTCTATCTCTCTCTCTCTCTCTCTCCCTCTCTATCTCATTCGTTATCTTCTCGCTCCTACTCTCTCTCCTTCTCTTTCTCTCGCACGGCCCTCTCACTCACATTTTGTAGTTTAAAATACATATTAGACAGTTCTGCTAGCTACAGAGCATCTCCTAGTCGTGCACTTGCTACTCTCGCCACTCAAATGTTTTATCAAACTGTTCGATCGAACATATTTGAATACTCATAAATTTAGGTATTTTAAATGCAGCTCATTTTGAGAACTGGAATACATTTCTCTATCAACAAAAAATAAAAAATAAATAAAGTTTTATACCGAATTTTATATTTAATTTTGAATAGACATAAATCAAACTCCAAAAAGCTAGGGATCATTTAACTAGCTGAGTTAAATATATTCTATATTTGTTCACTAAGTTGTTTTATCACCAGAGCATTTTCAACTCTTACCTTTCAATTGTTTCTACACGATTTAAAAATCATTCAATTTTAATATATTTACGTATTTATATTTTTCATATAT